TTCTAATATTGGAATCAGTGTTGGACGCATTGAAGCCTACTGTTTTTGAAAAAAAAAATTCTACATATTCTGACAAATTTCCTATTTTGAGTACTTGGTTATAGATACAAATGTCGAAATATCTACATTCAAAAAATATTAAGTATTAAAAGCTTCGAATAAAATTTTAATTTTCAGCTCCTCGTGTTCTCATTGGATTTGTAATCTTTGAGTGCTTCACATGTGCAAAAGACTACTTCCAAATGGCAACTCCTTCAACCGTCATGAAGTCCAGCTCATATCATTGTTCGTATTTATAAAAATGTTTAGAAGTTGAATCACTGCATATAATTGAAACATTATCGAGTGAGATATGTGCTATTTTTTGAAGTGAGAATTTGATTGTTGCTGAAATTTAATGTTTAACGGTGTATTATTCTTGTGAAATTATAAATTTAGATGATTCAGAAGTTTTCTTTTGAATGAAAAAACTTATTTGCTGCAAGGTATTGTTCATATAACATTGTTTGTATTTTTCAATTTGTTACGAAATTGATTATCTGTATATGATTGAAACTTTAAGTGTGAAAATAATTGCTATTGAAATTTAAGGTTCAACATTGTTTTATTCTGCCGAAATTACAAATTTGAAAGGACTCCTAAATTATCTTTTGAATGAAAAAACTTATTTTCGGTCCATTCGTTAAAAGCGAAAAGTTTTCGCTGAAATTGTAAGTCGATAATTTACAGAATATGATTTTTGTATTTTCTTATTCTAGGTTGCATTAGAAAACCAGGCTGTAACCATTCTACACCAAATATATATCAAAGCCTTATGCCATGTCATCATATACACAAAAAAATAGCATATTGCAAAATTAAATAATAATAATAATAATAAATGAACTATAAGCAAAATCAATAAGCTATCGTTCGAAGCAAATACAATGTAACAACAGGAAACTCAAAATTATATTCCTACAGTTCGAAGTAAATACAATGTAACAACGGGAAACTCAAAATTATATGACTACATTTAATGGGATGCATAACCTAAATGATATTTTCAAAATGGATGGCAAAATTGCCAGACTTCTTGAAAGAATATTTTTTTTTATCAAAAACAATTAAAATTGATGAAGCAGAATTAGTGGTTCACACAAACTTATTGCTCAATACTGGAGGCATAACAAAATCAACATATATTTGAAGAAGAAATAGAGATAAGAAACAATGTATTTCATATAAAAAATATTTTAACTAAATGAATAATACCTATAAGGCTAAAGGCAAAATAACTCTAAACCATTACAATAAATTTACTTATCGTGTAATTAAGAACAGTTTGTTTACATATCGTGTAGGTAAGAACAGTATGTTTACTTATCGTGTAATTAAGAACAGTTTGTCTTAACACTACTTCGTTATGATCATGTATTTTCTCAAGTCTTAGAAAAGTGATTTCAGCTATCTTAAGCAATAATTTACCAAGAACCTTGTGAGGCTTTAGCCTTCTTTGAATATTAAGCCATGCTACCACAATTTGTTAGTAATATCACACCTGCAATAAAAAATCCCAGTCGAAAATCTTTAAGTTCTCTCAAGCCTAACATAGACCTGCACAAAAGCCATGCATTATCAAAATACGACATTATTGAGGAAACCATTCCTCATAAATATCCATTTGAAAAGGAAGTAATTGTACATTTACATGTATAATTAAACTCCTTTTAGGATGTGTTAAACATATAAAAAAAATTCAGACACGAATTCATATCTGATTTTGATAAATATGAACCTCACCCATGTTAAAATTTGTCCATAGAATTGAGCTCATACCAAAATATGAAGTAGAAGTTCAGTTTGGAGGCATAATTAGGTATGAATCATATCAGAACTTAAACTTCCAAGTACAATTAAATCCTAAAAGTGAACTTGAACTCAAGATTGACCAAGCATTGCTGAAATTGAATTTGGGTCTTAATCTAAACTTTTGTTAGTAATGAAACATGAAACCAAAAGTGAACTTAAAATCATATAGCAATCAGCCCAAATCTAGTCAAGATTCTAAATCTGAGGTTCCATAGAAATCCAATTTACTCCTGAACTTAAATCTTAGCTTTTAATAAAAATTGAATCCATTCTTAATTGTGAAATTATACTTCCCATAAAAACTCCAAAATATAAATCAAAGCTTCTATATCAGCAGAACCAATTATGAATGCTATAGTCGGAATGTTAATTAATCAAACAAAGTAAACCTGAATGTTGAATTGAACTCCTCTGACTCTACATATGTGTTGCAGTTGATTGGTGGGTAAAATGATAAAATGGCTCTTCAATGTGAAAGTAAACAAACTATGTACATTAAAGAAGACAATTCATTTGAAAAATCTAATTTAACTAGGTCATCACCTAGTGATTCACACCTCAACTCCTAATCATGAGATCATGTGTTTTACCCCTATTCATATTGTCGCTCTGTACTTGAAAATCAATCAGCTGTGCATTCCATTGGATCTTGCATCAAGGGTTTATCGCATTCAATCTCTCTTCTTTAAAAATATGCAGATAGTATCGTGCCCAATTTATAGAAAATAAAAGATAGGCTTTTACCCTTCTAAAAAAAGAGCTGATTTAACCCCTAATAAAAATTCTAATGAAATTATATCTATCAATCAAAATAAAATTTGTTTTTAAGGATTTTGGTTTCTATGCTTGTACATTAATGGATAGAAATTTAAAAAGTGAAATTGCATGAGTACTTCAGTGAATTTATTAATGAGTGACTCAAATAAAGTTCTGACTTTAAATTCTCACCTATTAGGTTGAATGATAGTGTGTTAGTCAACCCCACCAATAATTAAGCCATTTGGGTGGAGCTTTTTTAAAGAAGGTTGTTTGTCCATATAAGTATTTCATAATTGGTGTGACCCTTGTATATTTAATTTTCTTTATCATTTTATAATATAGGCTTGCATTATAAATCATTAATAGTATTTCTTAAGTAACATATTGACATTTTAGCATTCTCATTTGTTTCGTATCATTCATAAAATTTACATGACATGTCTAATTTAAATAAAAGGATTTGCAAGGAGCTAACATTTTATCAAGGCAATTATAACTATGTTCTAAATATAAAAAAGATAACAGTAGACTTTTAACCAGAAGATAAGATAAACGTGCATCAAAATCTCAAAAGGCTTTCAAAAATTAAAAAATATATATATAAGTCCATATAATGTCATGCAAAGAATTGGACAGACAATTGCAAACCGAAAAATCCTAAGAAAATTGGCAACAATTATGTCTTCGATATACTTAATTTGACTTAAATTTATAAACTAATTTACAATACCTTGGATTCTTATTTCTTCCCATCACCTCATTGTGAACCAGGATCTACCACCTTGATGAATCAACTTGTCCGACGTAAAAGCTAACTTATATGTAGAAATCACATCCACTATTAATGGTCAACATTACAGATTTATGATGTCATTAGATAACAAGCTTCCTAATTAATTAGCTTGAAGGGGCACAATACTTGCCCAAATTTGCAAACTGATACCAAATAATTAATTCATCAGAATGGGAATTTTCTAAGCTAGGCAAATGATCCAAATCTAAAAGCCTTTATTTAATAGGAAATCAATTAATGTGAATTTTTTTTTCTAATTCATCTTAAGTGTAAAAAACATGTCAACAATATCAGCTCCTACATGAATGGAATGTGTTATCTACTATGTTCGTATAGTTTATCAAGTATAACTTTGTACTGCATAGTTTCAACTCAACCCATTGAATTCCAATCACCGCCCATTGAGTTTTTAATCATTAATGCAAAGTGATTTGCTAATTATTTCTCACTGCAATTTAATCATCGTGTTGTCATTTTCTCCATCCAGACACAACATGCCTCTCCGACAGTTTTTCAGCACTTCTAGCTTTTTCAATCCACTGTTGAATCATTTTTGCAATAATTGTAGCCCCATTATGCTACAGTCACTACCTTCTGTACTAGTGAATTGCGGCTTATTTAACTATTTTACAAGTTTTTTCCATTACTGGCTTATAGTCACAATCATTCATGTTGTTTGTCCTTTGCTTAAACCACCTTATGCAATGATACAAAATATTTCTCGTTGTTCAGTCAGCTCCATTATTCCTTTTCTCGCTTGACTACTTTGAAAACAAATTCTTAAGCAATTCGATAAATAAAATTAATAAAAAAAAAATTATTATTAGAGCAAATTTTTATGAATTGAGCATATTAATTTCTGTTAGAATTCAATCAAATTTTGATAACTTTCTTATTTTAGATCCTTAATAAGTTTTAAATAGGATCCCAAAACTAATAAAAGTTATTGAAATAAAATTTTAGTTCTCTTCTCTACTTCGCAAATGTTTGTTGGATGTGTATTCTGTTAGAGTAATTCATGGATGTAGACAAATACTACCATAGAGCAAATGTTTGTACCATTATGAGGTAAGGTTCCTCCTTTTGATGTGATTTCAATCATTACTCTTATGTTCTAATTTGTTCTGGCGTGGTTCTGCAAATATAATTAAAACAATGAAAAGTAAGATACACTTTAGGTTCTTTTGTTTAATGTGAATTTGATTGTTGCTACAATTTTATTCGTTGTTTTTCCCCCCTTGAGAATTTACATATTTTTGGAGAATTTTCAAAAACACCATTGGGTATAAAAGAAACCTATTTGTTGTTCTTATATTAAAAGCCAAATTTTTTTGCAAAAATCATGAGCTAGTAACCGGCCATTTTTTTTTCATCTTGCATATCATCTTAAGTTGCATTAGAAATCTTAGACCATTAACCATCTTACATCACATGCACGCCCAAAAAAATGTGCACCTCTTCATGAAAGCTAATTTCACTGTTGTCCGTTGCATAGTTATAAATATGATGCTGATTTAAATGGATAATATGTTAGTGGACAATTTGCATGACATTCCAACAAAACTATAAAAAAGAATATTTTACTCGATTAAATCACCTCAAAAAGGGATCTCAATTCTGAATCTTCAACGTTACTGTTGATGTTTCGTACAAACAATGTTCTGGAAGGATGTTCACCATAAGGGTGCTCCCCAGCTATTGTTCCAATGCCATTTGGAAGAGTATAATGAAAATTTATATTCGCCAGATAATCATCAGCAATATTTATCCTGCTCATACCAACAATAGCATTATCTATAGGATCAGCATCCATCTCAATCCCACCTCCACTGCTAAAGAGATCACAATCTTCCGCTGGTTCTATATGGCTGAGAAATTCTCTTTGATGTAAATTATTCATTATGCTATCAAAAAGTTCATCCTCATCAGGCAAAAATTTTTCAATTCCTTGAATGTCAATCCCGTCAATAGAATCATTGACCTCGATGTCTTTACCGAGCTTGTCCAATTTAGATGACACATCATCCATTGAGCAAATTCCCACTCCAGATTCAAAACTCTTAACTGAATGAAGTTAAAGCTAATTAAAATCCCTAAATTAAGAGAAATATAATCAAATTGACGATAAACCAACATACATCCATCGCATGAAAGAGCTGGCAATGAGCATGAAAAGAGATTAGCATCACTTGATCCTTGACGTGAATCAAGCTTGGACATAAATCCCCATGGACTCTTTTCAAACTTCTGAGTAGCTTTCACTGATGAGGTGTTTAGATATCACACTTAGAATTAAAATCAGAAAATATTTTAATTTGATTAATAAAAAAAACTGATTCCATGTGAAAATACCTGATGCCACCAACTCTTGTGAACGGTGCTCCATCAAATAATCTAAGTAACAAGAAAATTTAGAGTTTAAATTTCATATTAGGAAAAAAAAGTTGATATTCAACTCACAGATCCATTCAAAAGAATGAAAATAAAATAACAAAAAACAAAAGAAACTATGGATACAAGGCAAGGAAAAGAAAACTAAAAATGATATAGCTAAATTGCTCTATAAACCCACAATCCACTTTTAATATTCCAAAAAAAAAAAGGTTTAGAAAGTTATAATTCAGTACTTATAGTCAAAAATTATTTAAATGGGCAGTTGGAAGAAAAAAAGGAGAAAAGTGCGACCAATTAGAACATATTACACACAGAGACTGGCACACACATGCAGAAATCACTTCATAACTCTGTTTGACAAGTATCATAGTCATCACATGTATAGAAGTTAAGAAAACATTGCATCAAAACCAAACCATAGGGACAAGAATTCCAAACAATTAATGAAAATTGCAAAGAAAAAATGAATCTTTATTGACATATAAGGAAAACAAGGCCTGAAAGAAATAAGACATCAAAAAAATTTCTTCTTGCGGAAGTTGCTATATCAGATTTGACATAGCCACATGCAGCGAATCCCAAAATGACCAACGAGAAATAGGAGACTAGGCGATATAAAAAGTTCACAGGTGATAATTTTATGTGCATGGTAAAAATTAAAAATTTAAAACATATATATATATATAAAGTTAATAGCAGTGGAGGTACAGAGGCATAAATGGTCAAATAGAATATACAGTTTATGTGACCAGAAGGAACAGTGAAAACAAAGATTTATACTCATTATTGCGGTAAATACAGATTTATCAGATTCAGACAAACCAGTAAATATGTAAAAGAAAATAGATAATCCTTGAAACAACATAAATTACTTGGAAAGAAACAAATGCAACCAATAAAAAACTCTACCAAAAACATGGATGTCTCTTTCTACTTACCCACAGGACATAATCATAAAAACTCTGTATTAACAGGCTAAAAGAAAATCCTAAAGAAGATGATAAATCTTTTGCAAGATTTATTTGGCAATATCAATTTAAAAAATGCCATGAAAAAAATCTGACAATTCAAAGAAATAGGAACGGTGAGCAGCTGCCAAATAATACGGAGAACAAATAGATTTCATCATGCCAGTCACCAAGACCCTAAACGAAGGCCGGCCATCCATCGATTACAAGAAAGACAGCTTCTTTACCAAAATAAAATTAAATTAAAACACGGTTCTTAAAAACTCCCAAAAGAGAAATAACTCCTCCAGCTGCTAAAAATTGATATCACCGTCCACTAAACCAGCACTCAAACGACGATTCCGATATCAAAAGAAACAATACGTCAAAAAGAGAACTTGAAAACAATCGTTCAAATAACCCGCTGTTACGTAGCATCAATCAGGCAAAAAATTCCGCTTATCCACCAGGAAAAAAATTCAGAAAATTAATCCAACCCCAATCACGAAACCAGAGCAGCACTCACCTGCTACAGAAATGGAAATCGGCGACTTACAGACCTTTCAAAGCTAGAAAACCCTAATCGGATCACTAGCTGCCGATGCAAATCCACCAAACGATCAAGGAATCGACAATATCCTTCCAAATAAAACGTAAATACTGCAATCGAGGGGAATACTGGATTATATAACCACTCTTCCTTCCTCTTCACAAAAGAACTTGAGAAATGTTCCGCTCTTCTTCTCCTTTTCCGTGAAGGTGGAAGGAAAGGGAAAGGTGTGTGTATAATTGGTGGAGGAGAGCGAGAGAAAAGCGTAAAAAAGAGCAAGACAACGAAAGGGGAACCAGAGAAGAGAAGAGCGGACGTGCCTTCTTTTTCTTCTGCCGTATTGAAACCAATTTGGCGTCCGGATAATATAACACGGTCCCACCCGAGTTTAATTAAATATAATTAGTATTTAAATGGAATTATTTTACTGGAATCAAAGTTGAGCTAGATTCAGATTCTTTCACTTATCTGGATAATTTGGGATGTAAAGTCATAAAGGTTCAGCTTTTCAATATTTATGATAATTAAAAACAATGACTTAAATGGCTGAAATTTTAGAATTTAATCATCATAAAATACATGAATCTTAAACTCTTAAAGGACTATCCAAGAGAGGTTCACTTTTTTAAGTATCATTTTAAATGCATGATATTTTGAATTAATATTAAAATTTTAATAATATTATATATTTTATTCTTTTAAAACAAACTAAATTTAATAAAATAAAATGATTAAATTTGCTCAGAACAACTTAAAATGTAAAAAAAATAACTATTTTAAAAAAAATAACATGTTATTTATGAACTCCTTAAAAAAACATTTTTTAAATTCTAAAAAATTTTATTCAAATGAGCTAAATATTAAAAGGCTTAAATTCATTTTTTTTTTTTTAGTTTGTTTGCTTCTCTAAAATCTTCCGGATAGAATTTATTTTCAAGTTGATGAATATCATCAATTTTGAATGATCGATATTCATTTTGATGATCCATTTAAAACTTAGAATTAATAATTTCATAATATATTCTTTAAATATGTTATTCATCATCTTTAGTGGTATGTTCAAAGTAACTATGAAAATCAAATTTATAATGAACTCTTACTATAATAAGGTGAGGGTTTATGTCGATAGTGGAGAGCGTGGAAGAGGGGTATATATATATAGTTTTTTCTAATTAATTAAAAATGAATTTTATTTAATATTTATAAAAAAGAAATTAATTATGTATTTAAGCTCACTGGCATGACTATAATCTTTATGATAAATTATTTAAAATAATTATTAAAGTAAAACTATAATTGTAACTAAACCTTCAAAATTTCAGGGAAACAATTTTGTAATGTATAACGTGATATTAAATAATTATTAAAAATTTAACAGGGCAATCGACCCTCTCAACCCTCATTAGTTCCATCATTGGCCATTGACGAACATCAAACTAAACATCAGTTTACAGTTGATTATGAGTATTAGCCACCAAACGACTGCGAATGGCATAAAATCATTCATCTTTTTGGATGAGAGACGAATGACTAGCAAGGTGGACGTTGATGTGGTTGATTAACAAATATTGTTGGTGATCTACTGAGAATACTAAATGATCAATTACATTTTATAATTTCCTATATTATTCTTTATGTAGGAAATAAAGAAACTAAGAGTGAAATTCAAATGTTTGTTGATAGTTAAATTAGTGCTTGTATCAAAACATAGTAAATAAAATAAAAAATTGTCTATTGATAGTAGATAAATATAATATGTTGGCACCTGATTGAGAACATAAGAAATTGCTCAGCGATAAGTAGTATGATTGATCATTCTTTTAATATAATAGAGATTAAGAACAATAAATAACAATATTATGTAGATGGAATATAAATATTTGAAATGAAAAGATAGAGTAATGATGGACTTATAGGTTTGTAGGAAAATAAAAGTTGTATTATGACCAAGTTTAGTATATGGATGGAAAATTTAGAGAATTAAATAGAAAATAAAAAATATGTTAAATGAGACACCATATTTAAAGTATTATGATCCAAAATGAAGAATATGTTGCTATCAAAATCAAATGATGTAATAAATTAAATGTTTTAGACTCATTTGAGATCATTTATATTCTTTATTTTGATTTTTTTTATTTTTAAAAAGATATACATTTATTTAGTGAATTTTCCATTTTCTTATTTCTTTAATGAATCAAAAATTCTTAAAAAAGTAGTTTAAAGTAATTTTAGTTTTTTAGAAGTAATAATTACAACAACCCTACATTTATCAATCTCATCGATGATTACCTCACCCATAACCCATAATTGTTTTTTGTCGCTCACCTCCCTTTGGCACTACATGCCATCATCGCCAACTACCATTCCCTTTAAAGATCGCGACCACATTAAATTTTTAAAATATTTATTTTAGTTTAACATATTAAATATATTTTCCTTTGAATTAAGAATAAATAAAATAAAATATTAAATAAATAATACATAAGTTATTCCAAATGACCCCTTACCAATTAATAAATGAGTTTTGATTGATAAATTATGATTAATGGGCATGATTAATTTTGTGTGCCATTAGAATGGTATAGATTCATCAATAAATTAACTTTTTAGTGATTGGGATGACAATTTTGAATATTTCTTTAAACTCCTAACTACATGCAATGAACATTTCAACATCCAAGTTAGAATATCTCATCACAAGGTGAAACCTCTCAGAAAGACGTTGTCCGAAGACCGAGGCATCAAACTTTTTGTTCTCGATGACGTAATTTTTTTGGCAATAAAAGTATTGATGCAATCATTACGAGCAATGAAACTTAATGTGTATAAATTTTTATATGCTACATTTACTTTGAAAACTTGTGTTAAAAATTTATTTTAGAATGTATTCATAACTTTCATCAAAGATGAAGCATTTTCCTTAGAGCTGCAAATAAACTAAGTGTTCAAAAAGCTACTTATAGTTAGCTAAATTAGATATCATTTTGATATTTTGATTAACTAATCACATTAGTTTGAAAATTTTCATGAATATTCATTTGCTAAACTGTTAACCTCATTTTTTGTTGAGGTCTAGTTTTTCCTCTTTAGTAGCATGTGGTCTAGTCATAGAACTTTCCTATAGACTATTCTTAGAAGACTAGAAAAGGAATCCTCACCATTAGAAATTCTAAACTCTTATTTGCTCAGCTTGGAGTTTCACATATTGGTCATAACCTCAAGTACTTAGTAGGTGGGGTCAGCATAAGAGAACCCAAGTGGAGTCCCCCATAAAATTGCCAGACCTCAGGACTAACCCTGGGTGATCTGATTTTGATGAGGCTAACTTGCACACACTACATTCTCTCACATACCCTAAAACCCTATGACTTGTTGGTCTCTTGACTCCTTTTAAAAAGCTCCTCTTGATGATCATCTACCCCCAGTCTTTGGCTAAGAGGGTTAGAACCACCACATTAAGCATCCAAAATGAGTCCTCATATGGCTTCTATTGGTTTAGTATGACTTCATGGCTTGTTGGTCCATTTTGGCCCAAAATCACCAGATTACTAAAATACCCCTACAACCCCAATATTTGTAAAAAAAACCTCAAAATTACCCAAAATACCCAAATTTCCCCAAAATCATCTCAAAGCCCCCACCACTACCTAAATTAACCAAAATTCACAAAAATTACCAAATTCCTAAATACCCAAAAAAAGTGTCAAAATTACAAAAATGCCCCTCATGACCTAAAAATTTCAAAAATTTAAAAAGTTCCCAAAAATATAAAAAATCAACCCAAATATTCACAATTTCAATTTTTCATCATCCCAAGTTGACCAAATTAGTCCAATTTGACCAAAAGCCCCAATTTGCCCTTAAAGGTCTACATGTCCCTAAAGTAGCCCTAATTTTAGCCCAATTGACCATAATCTTGCCCAATTTTAATTTCAAGTCAAAATTCAGCATCCACAATCCTAATTTAAATAAAATTCAAGCCTAATTTGATCCAATTACGAGCCTAATTTCATTCAAATCAAAAAGTCTCAACTTTGACTATATGTCCAAATCCACTAATTTAGTCTATCAATTCAACTAAATTTCACTTGAAATTTTACCAAATCCTTCATGGCATTCTCCTACACCAAACTCAAAATTCAATTAGCCCAAATTTTAGCCCAAACTCAATTTCCATTTTAAAAGCCCAAGCCCACCACATTTAGTTTCAAAAGCTCAAATCTAAAGCCCACATGACAATTCTTTATCTTCAACATCCATTTGATTAAAATCATTCCTAAAGTCCTAAATTCAAAATCAAGTCATTCTAAATCAAACATCAAGCCAAACTTCACCAAAATACCAAATAAATCCAAAATCCTTCCTCATGAAAATTAGACCCATGCTTAGCCAAAATCCCTTGGATGGAGACCTCTCCACACCAATTTAGCTGACCCATCTGATCCTCTTCAACCAACCTTTGTGGCTAAACCCAACCCAAATTGACCCAAAATAACCCTTTCCCCACACTATTTCAATTCAATGCCTTTACACATGGCCAACCCCAATTGACTTCACCAAACCCAAGCCCTGCCTTCCCTGGACTGGATGGTGACCTGAGTCTGGCCGGCCGACCACCTAGGCTGCCAGAAAAGTCACCCCAAAGTGCTCCACCTAAGCTAAATTTCAAAATTAAAACCATTCAAGCTATCTCATCTCAATTGGATTTTTGCACCTTGTTGACTTCCACATAAGCAACCTAGGGCACCCATTAAATACCCCTGGTGGCCTCTCCTTCCCCCTCTATTTAAACACACCCTCCATGGCCAAAGGGGGAGAGCTTGCAATTCCTAGTGGAGACTCTGTCAAATTACTTTCAGAGCTTCCTTAGGACCTCTTGAGCTTAACCCAACCATCCTTAGCTACTCAAATCCACTGCTCGAGCTCAATTTTGGAGCTCAAATCAAATGTCAAAACATGACACTCACCAAACCTCCACCAAGTCCAAATTAATTGCACCCACGCCATCCCCACAGTGAGAGAGGAAGATCCCCCGCAAAAGCCCCATTACCGGAGTACCCTAAGGTGGACTTTGATCGAACCCCCAAATCGACTTTGGTCAAAATCATATCTAGGCGATTCACCACTGCTCGAGGCTCAATCCCCAGGCTCTTGAGTCCCCCACGAAGCTTTCACAAGCATCCAATCGAGGCTACCCCTCTTGGAGCCAGGTATTGAAACTTAACCCTAAACCGAGTTTAATTTGATTTCCATGTGCATAGAGTTGATTTAAAGGATGATTTAACCATATGAATATATTCTCCTAGTCAAGACGAGTCTATAGAAACAAACTACACTTAATTTGGTTGAGTATCGAGAGAGATATTAATCCTAGAAGTTAGAGGGTTCTCAGGCTAGAGCTTTGGGGACGATGACAGAGCGTTGTTGGATCGAGCGTGTATTGGATAGACGAATGAGATTGCGTGGGACGAAAGAATGGAACACGAACCGCAGGCTGAGTCAGCGCTGAGGTAGATGGCGGTGCCAAACCAGAAGTGGCCGCGTGGAACTTCGGATCTGCCTAGGTTAAGGTGGCGCCGCGTCACTTAAGCAGAAAAATAAGGATTTTCTTATTTATTTAAATAGCGAGAACTTCAAAAATTCAAAACATGACACTCACCAAACCTCCATCAAGTCCAAATTAATTGCACCCACACCATCCCCACAGTGAGAGAGGAAGATCCTCCGCAAAAACCCCATTACCGGAGCACCCTAAGGTGGACTTTGATCGAACCCCCAAATCGACTTTGGTCAAAATCATATCTAGGCGATTCACCACTGCTCAAGGCTCAATCCCCAGGCTCTTGGGTCCCCCACGAAACTTCCACAAGCATCCTATCGAGGCTACCCCTCTTTGATCAAGGTATTGAAACTTAACCCTAAACCGAGTTTAATTTGATTTTCCATGTGCATAGAGTTGATTTAAAGGATGATTAACCATATGGATATGTTCTCCTAGTCAAGACGAGTCTATAGGAACAAACTACACTTAATTTGGTTGAGTGTCGAGAGAGATATTAAGCCTAGAAGTTGGAGGGTTCTTAGGCTAGAGCTTTGGGGACGATGACAGAGCGTTGTTGGATCGAGCGCGTATTGGATAGACAAACGAGATTGCGCTGGACGAAAGAATGGAACACGAACCGCAGGTTGAGTCAGCGCTGAAGTGGATGGCGGTGCCAAACCAAAAGTGGCCGCGTGGAACTTCGGATCTGCCTATGTTAAGGTGGCGTCGCGTCACTTAAGCAGAAAAATAAGGAATTTTTTATTTATTTAAATAGCGAGAACTTCAAAAATCTATAACTTTGTGTAGAAAAATCACAAAAATAAAATAAAAATACCCACTTGCTTAGTGAACAGAGGAGAATAATGTGGAATAAACTTCAAGAAAAATATTATCATATATATTTGATGCATATTTTATTTTTAGTTAATTAAATGGTGTTTTCCTTATTTTGATTCTCCATTTGCATAGACATTTTACCATGTCATGGGACCATGGGGCTTTTGGCTTTTGATGTCTCTGTTGTTAGGCGTCTCTCCTGATTTTTCCAAGGTCAGGAGGCATCTCTTACTAAAGATATCTAATTTCAAGTTAATGGCCAATTTTCGAGTTAATAGTCTTTATTTTGGTTTAAATATTATAATAATTAAAATACTCATCAGATAAATACAAAACTTACTTTGGTAGGTTCACTGTGGTTAGAGGAGCCTAGGAAAAATATAAAATTTGTTTAACTCATTTAAAATAATCCTAATTGTCACCAACCTTAAAAATGAAGTGAAAATTAATTTGGAGTAATTATAAATGTAAATGACATGAAAATCTTTCTCCACTGTAACTTAATATTATAGAAACTTCTCATAAAATTTTCAAGTCAATTGGAGTTAATTTGATCACTAAAAATAAATTTTTAAGATAAGATGGTATTTTTTATATTAAAATAATTATAATAATTAAAATACAATTCAAAAAATCACCAAATTGATATTGGGAGTTCCTTGTGACCAGAGGAACTTGAGAAAAATAAAATTTGAATTAAAATAGACACTTCATTTTTAAACTATTTTTGAGCATTTAAATAATTAACAATTAATTAAAAATCATAATAATCACAAAATTGTGAAGACCTGCTAAAATAGCATATTTGGCTTACTAATTACTTGGAACCAATCAAAATAATTTTCGTAATTTTCTAAGTCAAGATATTAATTTTAAAATGCTTAAAAATGAATTTTCTTTCATTTTTCACTAAAATAATTCTAATAATAAAAATACAAATCACAAAAATATGAAATTTGTTTCTTTGGGCTGCTTGGACTCAGAGAGATTTAATAAAAATAAAAAACTTAATTTTCCATTTAAATATTATTTTATATTAAATTAATGCTCAAAACCAACATATAATTTTAATAATTAAATTAAATTTCTAAAAATCATGAAAGGTGGTCCACGTGGTCCTCTAAGCTAGGTGAACCTTTAATAAATTTCTTGAGGACAGATGTTTTATTTTGATTGATTTATTAAATTTTCATTGAAAAATCCTTATTTTTGCATTATAAATAATTATAAAAGTTAAATAATATTAGAAAAATCACATTTTCTACTTTGATGTTTTAATTAACCCATTAGTTAGGTAATATAAAATTTTCAAGTCATTTGAGTATAATTTAATGACTTATGGGTATTAAAGTCTTAGGGGCAAAAGGGTAATTTTGGAATTTAAGGCTTAATTGATATTTAGACTTAACCAAAAAACTAAATGGGCAACAAATAAACTTGATTGATTTATTTTGATGACTGGAATATGAAAGGGATAAATGGTAGTAACCAATCTCACATTGGTCTTATAAAAGATAAATTTGTAATTTTTCAAAATTAATGAAATTTAGAAGAATATTTAAATAGAGAGATATTAAGGTGAGGGGTTTGATTTTAGAAAATTATAACTCACTGATTTTAAGCCTCAAACTAATGGTTTTGAGATGATTTATAATTCATGGTAAGGATTGAGAATATAAATATAAACATTAAGAAAAATATTTTTTATTAAAATTATTAATCCACCTATTAAATCTTAAGGGCTTAGTAGTGAACTAGGCTTAATCAAAATGTTGTCGAATGAAATTTAAAAAATAACTTATAATTAATTTAAAACTTTTCAAAATACTATAAGCCCGTTCTTTAAAATCAAATTAGCTAAATTCCTTAATTAAGTCAAGTTGCCCCCAAAGGCCCCTACCAATATAATTCATAACTGAGATGACAAGTGATAATTACTCCACTTAAGGGATAATTAAGATATCAAATTCATTAAGCATAAGGGTATTAATTGAATGAACTATATATCAAATATGATAAAACTATAATGAACTCAAGATAACTCTGAGGACCATGAAATGTCTAAGGTATTACCTAAAACTTCTTCATGATCCTTTGGAAATCTTGAATGACGCGTGAGCTTATCATAATTTGTTTAATGAAATCATCCTTAAAATTTAAATACATCAAGATACAACATAGGATTTAGTAGACACATTTTAAGTAAGTACTTCCTACTTTTTCTACAAGCATACTTTAATTCCTGCAAAATTATACATATATATGCTTTGCAAGTACTAAAGTTTGAGGTTAAGATCATTATATGGAATTTCAAGTTGAGTAAAAAGAAAAGTTTTGAATTTCTAATGGTGGGGGTACCTTTTCTAATTTTCTAAGACTAGTCAATAGGAAAGTCCTATGGCTAGACCTAGGCTACTAAAGAAGTTTCTAGACCTCAACCAAAAGTGAGGTCAACACACGTGAAAAAGGGATACAAACTATTATGATAAAAGAATATCTAGTTTACTAAACTTTTAAACTTAGTTCAACGTGATCACACAAAGAAGATTACTTACTAAAATCCTACTTAAAAACAATAACAAAAGATACCGTGTTTGGAAAAAAAAATGAAAATTAGTGGCAAATAAATTTTATGTGTCTTCAAGTTGTGTGAGGCTCGCACCGTTGTGATTTAGGTTATTTGGTGATTTGTGACTTTCCTATACTTAGGAAAGGAATACAAACTATTATGATAAAGGAATTTTTAGTTTACATATATAAGGGCTTTATTTAGAAGTTTTATTTTGATTTTTATTAATATCTCAATGTTTAAAACTCAAAATAAGTGTGGTTTATTTCCTGATACCACACATGTAGTTTTCAAAACACGGAACCAGGCTGCGTTCGAGCCACCGATTGACCAATTTTCTACGATTCGAACCTAAAATTATTTTTAAGGCTTTCCAGACCGGGCCGGCTACTTTTTGGGGGGTCTGAATTTTAAACATTTATTATTGTCTCGCATTATTTCTCGCTCTTTACTGCTTCGACCAAACTTGCCTTATCTGCCCAAAACCCTGAAAAAATATTACATCAGTACTACGCACCTAGAGTAACATGCGTAGCCAATAAAATAACGCCACGATACCTTGCGCGACAGAAAAAAAAAACGGGGTGTATTATTGTGTTATTGTGTTCTAGGAATATTCCCCTTCGTGTTATTCATGTGTTATTGTGTATTATTCATGTATTATTGTGTTCTAGGAATATTCTTGGTGTTATAATAACACAATAACACATCAATAACACATGAATAACACACAATAACACATGAATAACACGGGGAAGAATATTCTCCGTGTTATTGCGCCGTTTTTTTCTCTGTCGGGAATATTCCCGGTGTTATTCAAGTGTTATTGTGTGTTATTCATGTGTTATTGTATCATGAGAATATTCTTAGTGTTATAATAACACAACAACACATCAATAACACATGAATAACACGCAATAACATATGAATAGCACGCAATAACACATGAATAACACGGGAAGAAATATTTCCCGTATTACTGTGCGGTTTTTTCCTCCTATCGCGCGTGGCGTGATTTTATTGGCTACGTACCGTATTTCTAAGTACTTAGTAGTGTAATATTTTTTCCAAAACCCTCTCTTGTCTCCGCCTTCCCGGTTTCGCTCAAAACCATCACCTTCGTGGCAAGGGCCGGATTGCGGCTTACAGTGACCACCGAAACATTTGAGGAAGTTAAGCCTGTTCGTGCCATTCTTCCTCTTCGCTCGTCCCGGATTTTCTAAATCCGGGAGCTCTGGATTTACGGAGGCATTTTTTGCCTATTGGCAGGCTTTAGCTTAAATCCTGCCTGCCGCCGGAGATGCCATGGCGACGACGACGACGACGACGACAGTCCGATCGAGCAGCTTCTCCCGAAATATGTCGACTTCAGCCGGATCAAGCGTGTCTTCTTCTACTCCCGGAATTAAACTCGGCCCTGGAAGCACCGCTTTCGTTTCATCCGGGATTCCAGACCTAGACAGTTAACCATATTTCCTCCGTCTCTTATTTTTTCGTTCTCGACAACATCCTCATGGTTCTTATTTAACTTGATTGGATTATAGAATTGCTAGGTGGTGGTTATCTGCTGGGAAGTATAGTGATGGTGATGGAGGACGCGGAGGCTCCGCACCACCTTCTTTTGCTGAGAAACTTCATGGCCCAGGGTGTAATTCACCGCCAACCTCTCCTTTTTGCCTCGCCTGCAGATGAGCCGCGGGCTTTTCTTGGGACACTGCCTGCTCCTGTTGCGACGTCTAAGGAGGAGAGGCAGCGGCTAACCAGATCGGATCATAATGAGCAGGAGCAGGTTTTAATTTAAGTCGCTATATTGCTTTTTTTAAGCTTGAAAATTTTGGTGATTGTTTTTGATCTTCTGGTGCTGGAGAAGGGTCTTCGAATTGCTTGGCAGTACAAGAAGTACTTTGGGGAGCAGCAAGCTTCTGATGCTCACAATAAAGGTTTGTCTGTTGACTTCGTGCAGAAAGCTGCACGCTTTCTGCTAAAATCCTTCTGCTTGACAATGATTCATGTTTTCCATGCCCTTCTTGATGTTGTTATTTAGATTGTCCTTTTAAGAAGGGTTTACGTACATACCATCACATTTTTTTTTTATTTACATTTACTACATCTAAATTTTGAATCTTGATAGTTACAAACAAATTAGCAAAATCTTTAAATTACATAAAAATACCACTATTATTAACATTTAAAGCATACACGTTATACTTATATTTTGATATGATGGAGCTTAAAGTTGTGTATAAGTAAATATTAAAACTTTGATGCTAGATATGTAAATACATAAGATCTGTATGTATATATGTGTAATTCCCCCTTGTTTTAAACTATACCATGTTTTCTTTATATCAAACTAATCTGAAGAAAATAAGGTTCCCTTTTTGTAGGCCCCATTGATGGATCATGAATGTTTTATGGCTTAGGTGCAAATTAACTTATGGTTACTCAATGGAGATTAATATACTTTTTTTTGGTATTCAAAAGTACATTAAAAGGATATGCATTTGGTGATATAGTGACAAGGTGTGGATGAGAATGGCAAAAAAGAGTGCTATTGATGGATGAAAAAAATGGTACCATTGAGATCTTAATTACGCAGCAGGCTAAATTTAAGATGAGAAATATAAAATAAATACAAGAGTAAGAAGTTCTAATTACTTTAATCAAACCATGAAAGGTATAAATAAGGATAATAAGATGCCGTTTAAAGATGAATAAACTATGCAAAAAATGCTATGCTATTTTTTAAAATTATCAAACTAGACTTATTTAAGAAAATGAAAATATGACACTCAATAGGACACAATGGAGAAAAAAATTCACTTAGCCGACCCCACTTAGTGGGATAAAGGCTTGTCATTGTTGTTGTTGAGAGTTAAGGAAGAAAATTCTGAAGAAGATCAAAATGATAGGAATTGTGAAGTATATGATGGTTTTTTTCATAATATTTGGATTTAAGTTAGCTTTAAAGAAGATGGATAAAATTAATGTCTAATTCCATATGAGATACTTGTTGAGAATTTTGTGAGATACTAGAGTACATGATGTGCAAATGCTTTGTTTACCTCAAAGATTTAGATGACGCCAACAGATCAAAGAATATTTTGAGGGCCAAATTTAAGGGGAAATATTTGGAGATGGTATTTACGGGGGAGTTAATGTAGTGGCTCATGTAGTGTTATTGAAAAAAGTAAGGAATCAAAGACTAGTTAGTTCATATAGTTTTATATTGAATGTTCAATTTAGTTTTATGCATGAAAGATATACTATCGAAATTTGGTTTGTTCTACTACAAATTAATAATATAATTAGAATTTTTTATTAGTGTGGGAGAAGATCTGTGTCAATATCTTAGAGTAAGATAAGATAGATAAAATGGATTATTGACTTGTACAACTAATATGGTGTCATCGATAGTTTTTAATCAATTAGATTACTTCAAGGATCAACAAATTTTTTATACGAGTAAGTGCGCTCTCTGTAAATGCCATAATCATGATAGTTATGATATTTTTTGAAGTTTTAAAATATAGAAGATTGAATAAAATTTTAGAAGAACTCAGATATGCATATCTTAGAATTAAGTTCTTTAGTAGTTAATTTCATTTTAATGATTACTAGAGTTTATGATTTAAAAATATGCTTTATCATATTCATGGATGTCTGATTTAAGGATTATCACATGAGCTATCAAGCTGTCTTATGGTGGCCTTATAGAAATGTTTTGAAGCCGTGCTTGATGTCTTGAAATCTTTTAATTTGAGTTGATTCTTTTAATGGTTCTTACTTTGAGTCATTTGAAGGTTGTGAATTGAAATCTAAAAACCATTGAACTCCAAAAACTAGGGGCTTATCTTGGTTCACTTTTGTTTTTTTGTTTTACTTTGTTTTATGTTTTGATTTAAAACAAAATTTATTTGGTGTGATAGATATGTTTAGTTATTTTTTAAAACACTCAAAACAACCTTTAGATATTTCAAGTTTTTTTTAAAACAAACTATTTTTTTTTAAATTAAAAGAACAAAAAAAATGCAGTAAGTTTTTATGATAAAAGAAAAAAAATAAAAACGAAAGACAAAAATCAAAAGTGATCCCAACCAAGCCTTTATATATGAATTTTTGTAACTGTTATCTTCAACAACAAACTTTTTCTTAGAATACTACTTTGCCAGCTTCATCGCAAGACTTAGCTAACAATTTTTGCTTAATATTAATTTTTTGGTGATTTTAATGTCAGTGAAATATGCCTGTATTGTATGACTAATGAGATAAACTACAAAACAACCTGCAGAAGATTAAATAGAATGCATGACTTTCTTGTATTTTCTATAAGAAAATTTGTTTTTGCTGTAACAAAACAATGGGATAAAACATGCAACATGTAGGAGCTAATCCTTGTTTGTTACGTGGCTGATATAAGAATGCAGAGTTTTGCGCTTTTAGGGACATTGACCATTTGTAAGAATATAAAATTAATTTCTTTGCTGCTTGCAGATGTTGAGCAGGAATTCAGCCACAATTTTGATCTGCGGAAATCTATTGAAAGGCGTATGTTGAATGCACCAAACATTGACTGTATATCAATTCAGAAATTTGCAAATCTTGCACCTCTTCGTAAACACTGCTCCTCATTTTTATCTAAACTATCTGGGTAGGCGTCAATTTTTCAATTTGCATGTCTGGGAGAAAATGTGTTTTATAGTATTTCTTTTTTAGGAAGATTTACATTCATAACACTCAATTCCTATGTATTTATATCAATCAGGAATAAATGAAATCATTCAGAATAAAAAGTTTCCTTCTTCGTAATGCTGCAAAAAATGAAATATTATATTTGCAATTCTTTCCTTTTAGCTGAATATTTAGATTATGAATATGTATTAATTAAGTTACCTAAAATAGATTATACATAATAGTATGTACCTAAAATTGATTGGACAGACTATTATTTATTGGAATGAAAGTAAAGAAAAAGACATTCAGCCTATTTGCTCAAAATATTGACATGATCTGAGTTTGGTCTGAATCTTTAGAATTTTAGCTTTTGTTAAGTGCTTCATCACCGGAGCGCTCATTCTTGTCTTTGAGTTCGGTGGCATCTCGTTCGCTTTGTTTGAGTTCTAGCGCGATCTCCTCTTCGATCTTCGATCTTCTGCTCTTCGATCGCTTCTCATTCGCTTCGCCTCGATCGCTTCTCATTCGATCGCATCTAATCTTTCGCTCTCCGATCATTCGATCGCGACAGCCGTGATTGCACAGCCGCAATCATCCGCTCCCTTCGATAAGAACTCTCGTCGATCTTCGACTGCTTCAACACTTTTCCGCCCTAGCCTTTTCACGTTGATTTAGATCAACTATTTGGATTTTATTTATATATCTTTGTTTTCTTTGATTTTTGGTTGATTTCGATCAACGACCATTCTATTTAGAATTTCTTATGAAATCTTAGGTATCAAATTTACAGGAAAGAATTACGCCACATGAGAATTTCAGCTTAGAATTATCTTAAAAGGGAAGGAGCTTTGGGGTCATATTGATGGGTCTTTCCCAACTCTCCCAACTCCCACTGAAGCAAAATATCTTGGTCAATGGGAAACAAATGATGCTCGTATTGTTTCCTGGATTTTGGGATCTATTGAAGCTCATATGGTGATTAATTTACAATTCTTTGGCACAGCTAAAGAAATTTGAGAATACCTAAAGCGCACTTACAATCAAGATAATTTTGCGAAACGCTTCCAATTGGAACTGGGCATGAGTAATTATAGTCAGGGCAATCTTTCAATTGAACAATATTATTCTGGCTTTTTAAATTTATGGAGTGAATATACTAATGTTATCTATGCTAAAGTGTTAAAGGATAAGTTGCCAAAGGAGAATTTAGCTACTCTTCAAGCTATTCATGAAGAAAGTCGTCGTGATCAGTTTTTAATGAAATTGAGAGTAATGAAACTGAGAACTAAATTTGAAACTGCTCGAGCTGGGTTGCTGAACAGAGATCCGGTTCAATGTTTGGATGTTTTTTTTGACAATTATTGCGCGAAGAACAAATATTGACGACACACATTATTATCAGTTCAATGTATGGATCATCATAAATAATTAATATGACATATGCTATCAAGAAATTTGATCATATTGCACGAAATTGTGAAAATAATGTATGTATTTATTGCAAGCAAAAGGGACATACTCTTACAGAGTGTCCTATACGACCCAAAAACCGCAAACCACAAACACTTCATACCACGGTATACGACACTCACAATCCTGCCTTGACATCTAGATTTTCCATAGCTGTTGATAATAATCAAACAGTTGTCACACCATATATGGTTCATCAGATGATTCTCTCTGCCTTTTCTACTCTCGGCCTTCAAGGGAAAGATAAAACTATTACTTCCGTTCTTTCTCCTTGCGTTGTTGATTTAGGCGCTACAAATGATATGACTGACACAGCTGATTTATTGCATAACCAACGACCGTACACTAGTACTCAACAGATTCAGGTTAATGAAAATAATATTCCAATTACGACAGTTGGTGATATTAACTAATCATTCAGACATGTCTTGATTTCTCCTAAATTATCTACTAACTTACTCTATGTTGGTCAAATTGTGGATAATAACTGTGACGCACATTTTTCTCGTGATTGTTGTATTGTGCAAGATCAGGTGTCGGGGAAGGTAATAGCGAATGGACCTAAAGTGAGCAGATTGTTTCCATTACAATTTACTGTTCCTCTGAATATTTCATTAGAATCTTCAGTTGTTGAGAATAAGATGGGCATCTGACATAAAAAAACTAGGTCATCTAAATGATATGGTGTTGAAGTAATTATGTAAAAATAATATTTTTTATTCTACAGATAAAAGTTTAGTAGTTGAATGTTCTGTTTGTAAATTTGGAAAAAGTAAGACATTATCTTTCTCTATTTTAGGCAGTCGTGCCATTAAATATTTTGACATTATTTATAGTGATGTTTGAAGAATTACACAAGTTATTTCACATGCTCAAGATAGATATTTTGTGACATTTATTGATGATTAAAGTCGATTTTCTTGGATCTATTTTTTACGTTCCAAAACAGAAGTATTTACTGTATTCCAAACATTTTTATCGTATGTTGAAACTTCATATGTTGAAACTCAGTTCTTCGCTCGCATTAAAATGTTACGGTCTGACAATGGTGGTGAATACATGTCTCATGAGTTTCAAGCATTTCTCCATAACAAATGTATTGTTTCACAACGCTCATGTCTCTATACATCACAACAAAATATAATTGCTGAATGGAAAAATCGATATCTATTGGATACTGTACGCACATTACTGATAGAATCTTCTGTTCTAGCTAAATTTTGGACTGATGCTTTATCTACTGCAGTTTATCTCATTAATCGTTTACCATCTCAACAATTGAAGTATGAGTCTCATTACTATCGAATTTTTGATAAAAATCCTAATTATCATATGCTACATACTTTCAGATGTGTTTGTTTTGTTCATTCATCTTCTCATAAACGTCTCTTCTCATGAACGTCATAAGTTGGCAACTAAGTCAGTACGATGTGCCTTTATGGGGTACAATCATAATCATAAAGGTTTTCTGTGTTATGATTCGATTAATAATCGATGACATATTGCTCGGAATGTGGTTTTTTTAGCATGAATATTACTTTTAACATCATGTGTCGACACCATATACAGTTATACTTCCACAATTTGATAATTCTTTTGCTGATAAATGGTTCAAGCCGAACATTGCCTACACACGACGTCTTCCCCCTTCACCTTCAATCCCCCTCGAGCCTGATCCAGAAATTGCTCCAATAAGTATTCGACGATCAACCCGACGTATTCGTCCTTCAGATAGATATGAGTATTCTGCAATTTTAACTAATATTAATGTTCCTACCTCTTTCAGGCTGCTAAACAAACTTGTTGGGGTCAAAGCCATGCAAGAGGAACTTCAGGCATTTCAAGATAATCACACTTGGAATATTGTTTCATGTCCTAGAGGTGTTAAACTCATTTGTTGTAAATGGGTTTATTCTCTTAATCTCCGATCTGATGGCTCTCTTGACATATATAAGACAAGATTGGTAGCTCTCGGCAATTGACAGAAATACAAGATTGATTATAAAGAAACATTTGCACCTGTGGTTAAGATGACAACTGTTCGACTGGTGTTATCTATTGTTGCATCTAAAGACTGGTTCTTAGAGTAGATGGATGTTAAGAATGCATTTTTACATGGGGATCTCAAATAAGATGTCTATATGACGCCTCCTCTAAGCTTATTTTCTACACCTTCACATGATGTTTGTAAGCTCAAATGGTCCATATACGGTTTGAAACAAACTCCATGGGCCTGGTTTGAAAAGTTTTGCAATACCCTTCTTAGCTTCTCTTTTATTCAAAGTTAGTATGATTATTATTATTTCTTTGCAAGACTGACAAGAGAATTGTTTTGTTATTAGTTTATGTTGATGATATTGTCATCACCGGATCTGGCAATTAATTGATGTCTTAGCTACAGAAACGTCTTCAAGATTCTTTTCATATGAAAGATTTAGGGTCATTAACTTATTTCTTAGGACTCGAGGTTTAATCTTCTGCCTTCGATTTGTAATCTTCTGCCGCTGGTATTTTTCTTCATCAGCACAACTGTACGAAGGGACTCATTGCTTTGACTGGTCTTCATGATGGTCGTTCCACTGATACTTCTTTGGAAGTATATGTCAAATGTTAACAGAATGATGATGACTTTCTATCTGAACTATTTCTATATCGACAACTTGTTGACAGTCTCAATTATCTGACTATTACACGTTCTAATATTTCATTTGCTGTGTAACAAGTTAGTTAATTTATGTAAGCACCCACACATCTCTATTTAACTGTAGTTCGACGTATTGTTCGGTAATTGAAAGGTACTTCTCATCGTGGTTGTTCTTTTCTGCGGAGTCTCCTATCACCTTAACAACCTATAGTGATGCTGATTGGGCTGGTTGTTCTGATAAACGCCGATCTATTATTGGATGTTGCATTTTTCTCGAAAACTTTTTAATCTCTTGGAAGAGCAAGAAACAAGATTGAGATTCTAAGTCATCTACTGCATAATATCGTGCTATGTCCTCTGCTTGTTCTGAGATCATTTGGCTTCGGGGCGTGCTGGGTGAGCTTGGTTTTCCTCCGTTTGAGTCTACTTCTCTTCATGCAGATAATACTAGCGCTATCCAGATTGTTGTTAATCCTGTCTTTCATGAGCGCACAAAATACATTGAAGTAGACTGTCATTCCATTCGAGAAGCTTATGAGGATGGTGTTATATTTCTTCCTCATATGACTTTTAATATTCAAACTGCTGATATATTTACTAACATTCTTGATAACATCATCAGTTTCTTGTCAGCAAATTGATGCTTCTTGATCAACCAACATTAATTTGAGGGGGGATATCAGTCAAGAATATATGAAATTAGACACAATAAAGAATTTCCTTCTTCGCAATGCTGCAAAGAAGGAAATATTATATTTGCACAGATTCTTTCCTTTTAGCTGAATATTTAGATTAGGAATATGTATTAATTATATTACCAAAAATAAATTATACAGAATATTATGTACGTAAAATAGATTGTACATACTATTATTTATTGGCATGAAAACAAAAGAAAAGAAATTCAGCCTATTTGCTCAAAATATTGACAATTTACATATCCAAAACCTAAACTTCAATATTTTTATACAAACCATCTTGCTTATTATTCATGAAAAGGTGACTTTTACATTTTGAAAATTAAAATGGTGGTATTTTTGATGTGATATGAAAGATTTGGGTGGCGTGAATGTAAAAAAGCAAAATTAAGGTATTAGATATGCAATTACATAGGAATTGGGTTATATGTATGTAATACCCTACATTGGGTTTAGTGACACTTAAATCTGTGCAGTGATTACTCTGCAAAATGATTACATAGTTTTCTGTATCAGTTAATGATAAGGGTTCCCTTGAATATGCTTTTTCTTGTGTATCACCGTCCCTTTTTTTCTGCGGTATTTGTTTCAGTTGATTAATTAATTTTTATTCCAATAAAGCTTCCTACGGAGTTTGAAGTTTGGTCATAAGCTTCCTGTGATTTGTTTATTGAACACATTTGAGCCTTTTCTCCTCCACATTAATCCAGAATTATAGATGGATGGAAGAGTAAATGGGGTTGTTTACTAGAACTTTTATTAGTACTTTCCATTTCTGTTGGCCTGCCTAATGATCTCCCTCTTGTTTTTCCCCAGATTTCACAGTCCTTAAGTTATCCCCAATCCTTCCTCAGAATTATTATAATTTAAGATTAAAGTGCCGAATGGTTAATTTTAACGGAATACATTAGTTTAGCACACCCCTACCGTTGGATCACTCTCTTATTTGATTTCCCATTGCAGAAATGGTGTTGGACTTGCTGGTCGTATAGCAATACAATCACTGTGCGCTCCACAATGTGGATTTTCTGTGAGTATTTATTTCTTCTATGTAAGGAATCACTTAATTGTGTGATTTTGCGCCGCGTATTCAGATCAGTTGGTCGGGCATCTATTTATCAGTTGTAAGCCCCCTCTGGTCTGGGGTTCGACTCCCCCCGAGTGTAGGGTGTGGTACTCGAGTTCTTAGGCGCATGTGGGATGGTCGGGGCGTGTATCATAGCCTCCGGTCATTCCTTAAAAAAAAGAAAAAAAAAAAACTGTGATTTTTTTAATTTGTTTTATTCATAAAATCCGGTTTCTATTAGGAAGCATGGTCTGTCTCGGGGATTGTTCAATGATAATAAATTTTTGTTGTTCCATTAACTTTTTTGGCTAAATTGTTGTAGGATTGGGATATGGTTTCCTTTGTAAGGTCTTTGAGAGCAATGCTGCTATCTTCTAAGGCTGTTGCTATGATTACATTCCCAAGCTCCATTCTTCTACCCTCCTTCTCCAAGAGATGGCAACACTTGGCTGACACACTTCTATCAGTTAGAGCTATCCCAGGCATAATCTTCTGCTTACATCATACTCATGATTACTTTTTTAGTGTTTTTTGTAACATTTTTTTACTAAATAGATGAGGACAAGGATTTGGCTAAGCTCCTGACTGGTTACCAGGAGATGGTTGGCCTTTTGCATGTGCACAAAGTGGCTCAGATCAATTCCCAGGCATGTCTTGTGTTTTTTGTTTTTTTTTTTTTGTAATCCTTATTTTTCTGGCCTCCATAGGTTGAAATTAATCAAATTTAATGTTTTCAGAATGTGATATAATCACTCTAAATTGAAAAATGCAGGTTCCAGTCATTCTGGAGACCAGCACATTCTCATTAAAGCTCCACCGGCGGAGATTTTTGGCTCTGGAAAGACTGAATCAGGCTCCTGTGGAAGGATCAAGTGGGACTTCCTATGGAACTGCTGGTCCCTGTTCTGGATCTTTGAAGGGTTCTTCCATTGATTTCTAGCATCTAAAATTATTCGCTGAAGGTTAATGTGCCGTCGGAGTTGAGAATTCGCCGTGTTCTTTTTGTTCGGCAATGTTTCAGGTGAATGGTAACATCATGGTCTGGCTGGCTTGGTTGTCTTCTTCTCTGGGCTCCAATTTCTTCCACTGTGCTAAAATAGGAACCTTAGATTGCTGTATAACTTATTCTAATTGTATTACATTCTTTACAATGATTCAAGTATTATTTGGCTTTGTTGCTTGCATCTGGGCATTTTTCCACTTCTATATTTTTACATAAAAAGTGAAAATACACATTTTCATGCATAAACGCAGTCGTCTTATAAATTGCTTGCCATATAAAAGTTAGACTTATTTTACATAAAAATATACTTTTTTTTCAAAAAGTTTAAATCACAAGGCAAGTCAAATAAATAAGGAATTAAGTAAATCTATATTTTTATCAACTTAATATATGAATGACAAAAAGTTTTGATCATGCCCAGAATTTTATGCTGTTCACAGTGTTGTAAATGGCGAGGTGGCGCGAGCTCAGGCTTGACTCGTAAATTATTGTGGACAATTTTATAATAAGAAAAATTAACAGTCAACAAAATCAGCACCGAGTTTAGTGCAGATCCAAGCTATAAATTTCAAAATTTAAATTGAAGTGTTCGTAGCAGTTTGTTTTAACCAAAAAAAAAAAAAGAAAAAGAAAAGAATATTCATTATCTGAATTCAAATAACTAATCTTTCACTCATTTAATAACTACAATTCATTACCTCCAATCCATTAATAGTTCAAACTTGTTTAAAAAAGTGCATGCACATATCATGTGAACATTTATAGGTAGTGTTGCAGTATTATCTAGGGTTTCTCCTTCCTGCTTCTCAAACAAGTTTACATTTCTCTCAATGAAGACACTTAGCATCAACCACTGAAACTGAAAACATTGACAACCTTGCACTCAACCTTTATGCAACAACCTTGGCGCGCCAACGTCTTTTTCATTCATCCATTGCACGGATAAATTGCAGTGAGATTAAGCGTCTGTTTGGGGCAGCTGTAGCTTATTGAATAATCTGCTGATAAGCTGATTAAAAATAATTTGCTGATAAGCTAGATGCAATGGCTATTATAAATTTTTATTTTCTTGGAAAAGCCATACTGCTGTCAGAAAGCTGTCACCGCAACTATCTAAGTGCGGTCTGAAAATGCTGCTTTCACCGTTTTCAAAACGCATAAGCTGCCAAAATGCAATTTACCCAAGCAGATTAATTGCGTTTTCAAAACGCCACCGCACCAAATAAGCTGCCCCAAACGGACCCTTAAAATGAGAATAGCTCACATTAGAGCTTCTCCAGGTGACCGAGAGGTTTACGCCAGATTCAATTCTAGAGAACTATAATGAATGGAAGAGCCCCGAAGCTAATTCTATTACAGTTCAGTACACATTTATATTATAGTAATGGAGTATGCTAGAGAGGGTTGGGGGTCCCCAACAGTTGAGGTTGTTAGACATAATTCTTGTTGTCTTCAATGAAACTGTCTTTCCCACCCAAAACCCAACCTCCACACTGCCCACTGCTCCCAGCTACACAACATCCCCAACCGTTGAGGCTGTTAAAAAAGCTATACCTCTAGGCGAAAACAAGAATTATGTCTCCACATCCTCTGCTAACAAACTCAACAGATGGGGGCCACCAACCCTCTCCAGAATACTCAATTACTATAATATAAGTGTGTATTGCATTGTAATAGAATTATCTTTTGGGCTCTTCCATGCATTACAGTTCTCTAAAAAATGGTTCCGACATAAGCCTCTCGGTCACCTGTAGAAGCTCTAATGTGAGCTGTTCTCATTTTAATTTCACTATAGTTTATCATGGTATCAGAGCCATGACTATGACCTACTCAATTTGGGGTTGATGAACCACAGATTCCCCTGTTGTAGTAGGATCGTCGGCCATGGCCGCGGTGGCTGTTGCTACCACCACGAGTAGTTAAAAGTGTCGTAGCTTTGGCATTGTTGGCCGAGAGAGATTAATCTCTTCGCTGCAGAGTAGAGAGTACATGCCATTGAGTTTGATTGGTTTTGACTTGGTTTGGATGGCTGTTTTGAAGGATTGATATGAAGGAGGTAATCCATTTAGAATATGGAGTATAATGCTCTCTTGATCAATGTGGCCTCCGCCAACAACAATATTGTCGACGAGGGTTTTGATGGTTAATAGGTATTGGGACATGGTTTGATATTTCATGGAGATATGATGGAGTTTGTTTCAGAGTTGGATTACACGGGATCGATTGGTAGATTGCAAGCGGCATTGAAATGTTTTCCAAATGTCATTGGTGGATTCAAGATTGAAAACATAGGGTAAGATTGTTGGAGATATAGTGGAGTAGCTTGTTGTAGACAAAATTTGATCTAAGATTGTTGAATGAGTTGGCCATTGGAGTCATGGTATTGGGTAGCAGGGCAAATGACAGTTCCATCAAGAAAGCCTTCAAATCCATTGGCTTTGAAGAGCTTGTAGATTTAAGTTTTCAAGGTAGGGTAGTTTTCTACAATTAATAGGACGTTGGGTATGTTTTTGATGTTGGGCATAAAAAAAATTTAGAGATGAGGGAATAGGGATTTCAGCCCTGCCCAATGGCTCATAAAAAATTCTTGTGTGGTTTGAGAGAGTGCTGCTGACTTTGTCGATGAAAAGAGGAAAAAAGAGTGAAGACCAGGGAAGTTTAGAGCTTGGGGAAGATAACCTGTATCGCCTGGAGCTCTAATGCCATGATAAACTGTAGTAAAATGAAAACATCTCACATTAGAGCTTCTACAGGCGACTGAGAGGTTTATGCCAGAACCATTTTCAGAGAACTGTAATGAATGGAAGACCACAAAATCTAATTCTATTACAGTCAATACACATTTATATTATAGTAATGGAGTATTCTAGAGTGTTGGTAGTCCCCAACGGTTAAGGTTGTTAGCAGAGAAAGCGGAGACATAATTCTTGTCGTGGCCTAGAAGTATAGGCCTGTTATCCACAAAAACATATATTTTGTATCTTACTGCTACAACTTTTATGGCCTCCTTGCATCACCATAAAAAGATATTCATTGAGCAAGGAAAACATAAGCTAAAGTTTTTGCATACCAAACAATTCTCACGTATTTACATATCTAAAACCTAAGCATCCATATTTGCATACATGCCATTGGGATAAGCAATGATAACACGAGAAATGAGAATTTCAGATATAAGCAATAAAAAAAGCTACATGGAAGGTGTTGAGAAAATTAGGGCGAAGAAAAACAAGAATCGACACAAATCCAGAAGAACACAGATATTTAACGAGGTTCGGCAAAGATGCCTACGTCCTCGGGAGCAGAGCGGCGAGTTCCTTTCAATAATCAGAAAAGAGTTTACAGAAATCAGGGATTACCTCCTGGGGTTACTAACAGACCTATTTATAACCCCAGGAGTAAACCTAGGCACAATATGTAATTACAACATTACCCCTGTACCATACCGCGGGGCTTTGCCCCCGCACCCCAACCCACGTAACTTCCCAATTTGAAAGAAATGGCAAATGTATTCTGATGCGACAAGTTAGATACATCGTCCATTGAAGACAAAAGCTTCTCGGCTACTAGATAACAAGACAATAGTCACCATCCTTGGTTCTCATAGTTTCAGCAATGATTATTTCACAAAGATAATCTCTTGTATCCCATGTAACCAATAATAAAACTTTAGGAATGCTTTCTTCATTTAATTTCATAACCAACAATAAAAGAAACTAGCATATTAAATTAATGCTGGATCCAACATTGCAGCTAAAAACAACAATTCCATAACAAGGTGCCAGGAAACAGTTTATGCAAGTGAGCTGGCTGATCAACTTTCAAGTTCGCATGGAGTGAAAAAATTAGTGAGCATACCATAAAGGCTTACATGCTGATTATAGTAACAAGGAAAATGATGCTAGAAACCCCAATTTTCCATGTCCTAGATACTCTTGCAGAATTCATGCTACAAAAAATCAAATTCGAACTCTCAACTCTAAAACCTAAACCCATATCCTAGATACCTTTTTTTTTCTCGTTCGAAATGGCTCGTGAAGTGTGTGTTCGGGTTCAGCTCGAATAACATATTCATGTTTGTGTTCGGTTCGTGTTCCGCTCGATTCTGACTCCTGTTCGAAATGACTCGTGAAGTGTGTGTTCGTGTTCAGCTCGAATAACATATTTCTGTTTGTGTTTGGCTCATGTTCCACTCGAAATTGATGTTATTTGTGTCAGTGGTGTATTGCGTGTTTTCACAGGCAATAACACCGCAATAACACCATAATAATACCGCAATAACACTACAAATAACACCACACATAACACAATAATAAAACCACAACAAAAATTTTGCAGTGTTATTGCAGTGTTATTGCGGTGTTATTTGAGGTAAATTTGCGGTGTTATTGGTGTGTTTTCAGGGTGGTATTATTGCAGTGCTATTGTGGTGTTATTGCAATGCTATTCGAGTGTTTTCCCGTGTTATTTGAGGCAACCCGTGGTGTTATTGACGTGTTTTGGCGGCGGTGTTATTTGAGTTAATTTAAGGTGTTATTATGATGTTATTGTGGTGTTATTCTGGTATTTTTGAGGTAACCAGCGGTGTTGTTGACGTGTTTTCGGCGGCAGCGTTATTTGAGTAAATTTGCTGTGTTATTGTGGTATTATTGCCGCCCAAAACATACAAATAACAACGCTGCTGCAAAAACAAATTGGGTGGTACGTATGTAAATTCCCAAAATGAAAATATATTTCTTATGTGATATAAAAATTGGGAGGTATATATGTAAATATATTTATATTTATTTATTTTTTAGCCAATTCGAGTTGAATATGAGCTGATAAATATTGGTATAAATATTTGTTCATGTTCGACCCATTTATATTTCGAGCTTTGTTCAGCTTGAAAGCTGCTTAGGGAGCCAAATTCCAGCTGTTCGTGAACAACGACCCAAGTTGATGATCATATGTCCCGAAGTAGTTACGAAAGAACTATTTTCTAAGTGCAAAATGAATTTTGCGTGAGGCAAATAATGGGAGTTTCGAAGATCTTTGCCTTCCCAGCTCGCAGCACATAAAATTTATTGTCGAGGAGACTTGACAAGTAAAAACCAACCATAGAAGATCTCTTTTGGCTTTTGGCTTTTCGCGATATTTACTCGCACCGGATCATTACCTTTACTTCGGCTAGCACGAGAGCTCGTGAAGGGCCTAAGCGCGGAGTCCGTCGCTTGAACTTTTCCTAGAGACCTGAAGCTAGCGTGAATGGCGAAGGAGGGGGAGCCGATGCAGGAGGATCGAACAGAGGATTTCACATCTATGGATCACGGTTTGCTGCTGCTCTCTCATGACGGCTCACATTCCTTCTTTTCTTATTTCTATCGAATCATTAAACACTCTTCATATTGTTGTATTTTGCGTGAACTGGCGAACGATTGGCGATAAGTAGTGTTGTTATGCTATTTCTGATGGACAAGAGGAACATTTTGCATTTCGAGGTTTAGGGTGAAATGTTCCATGTGAGATGGCGTTGGTTGGACTTTTCTCAATTGAAACAGTTAATTGAAGTAGATTTTTTGTTTTTCATAAAGATTCTAAAATATTATTTATGAAGTACTGAGCTGCAGTATAAATCTTCGAAAGATTTGTGTTCACAGCTTCTGGTGTTCTGCATGCTTTCTTTTCATACGAACTCCAGTTGCCGACAATGATAAGCGCTAAAAGATCTCCCAGTTTCAGTGCATGCGGGTTTCTGTTGAGTTTGTAGTTTTTAATTGGCTCCAAGTGCTGCTAATGTTCTTTAATTGTTTTTTATTGATGTTTTACAATACAGTTCCTTTGCAGTAGGATTATTCCTCTTGGGATGCTGATAATTGTACTTGATATTGAAATAATTATAATCGGTATTAGTAATACAAGTAAATATTTGACCCTGGGAAGTTTACGTTATTGCTCATCAAAATTTGCACGCTGTTAGAGCTGTAGATAAAATTTATGGAAAAATGGTAGTGCTTATGTCATAAGAGTTCCAAAACACAAGGTAATCTTTTATGTAGAGAACGGTTCAATATTTCTACTTTGATTTCAAGTTGAGGAACTGCATATTATTACAAGTTTTAAGATGTTGAATCAACTTATCCTTAGAAGTAGATAAGCAAAATGCTACTTTTATAAGAAACCCTTGTTCTTTTTTGTGTAGTTAACTCCATTGAAGCTAGAGTTCAAGAATTATTAAAAAGTAATGAAGCTAACTTCAATGCTTGGACACTGCTTATAGCTGAGGTTGAGAATACCTCGCCAGTAAGTGTTGATTCTCCAGTATTCTTGTTAAACCTATAGGTATTTGCTCATGTTTTGTTCCTGAAAAATCTTCATGGTATTGAAATTCTTCCTCAGTTTAACTCAACGTACTCGGAATTACTAATTCAGTATAATGCTCTCTTTGCACACTAAGTTAATCTTTAGTTCAATTTCAATGTGGTTTCGGTTGATCTTCTTTTGATTCTATTGTTGGGAAGCTTAGTCTGAAGTCTTGTAGAGGATCCTGAAGGGTTTGAAATGCAGGCACTGTACATAATTTGGTAATTCATTTATTATTAATCTTTGTTGTGTTTGGGGCGGGCAATAAGATGAGGAGGTTAACTTGCTCTAAGAAGGCGAGTATGGTCACCCTTTTTCCTGTCTTAGCTCTCACCTTACTAAGTAGCATCTGGTTTCCACTATTTTAGTGTGAAATGAAATGTTAGCTTCAAATACATTGTGTTGTGCATGCATCTGTTTTGATAAAATGCTCTATTTGATAATTTCCTTCGTAATGAGCTCGAATTAGTACAGTCTAGTCTTTGCTCACTGTTTTTTAAATCAACATGGCATAATATTTGATATATTTAGGACTGCAAATGAAATTAGTCAGGTTGAGCTGAGCACGTGCTTGTTTGAGCTAGAGTTCACTTTTTAAGAGCTCTTTCGAGCTCGGCTTGAGCTCGATTCGAGCTGTTAAGGTTTTAGCTCGAGCTTGTTTATAGCTACGCTGTTCGAGTTCAGCTCGAGCTAGATTTGAGCTCGGTTCATATATGATTTTATTGAGTTTATTAACAAGCAGATCATTTAACAAAATAAACGAGTCATAATAAGTTTCAATCGAGCCTTACTCAAGTTTTATCGGAGCAACTTGTTAGAAAAAATAATGGAGCCACATCTAACAATGCTCGTTGAACCTCAAAGTAAACATTTGAATGAAACTGTTAATGTACAAGGTATAATCGAGCTTATTCACAAGCTTTAAATAATTACTATTCATAAATATAAATGAACCAAACAACGAGTTGTTAAAACTTGTTTATTTAGTAATCAAGTATTTATGAAAGTTTTCAAGCTCATTTGATTAATTAATCAAATGATCGTGAATGGGCTTTAATTGTGTCAAGCCATGAGTAGCTTGTCGAACGCTTGGTTCATTTGCTGCTTATATATATATCTCAGTTCTTTTGTAGCATGACATTTTAATGTTTCTTAAGCTTTGACGGAATGCCAAATAATTTCTTACTCTGATAATAGGATGACATACAAAAGATCTGCCTTGTGTATGATTCTTTTTTGTCTGAATTTCCGTTATGTTATGGATATTGGACAAGATATGTGGGGCACAAGGCACGGCTCTGCACTATGAATGAGGCCGAGCAAGTCTATGAACAGGCTGTGAAGATAGCATCACATTCTGTTCATCTCTGGGTCAACTATTGTAACTTTGCTATATCATCGTTTGAGGATCCTTCAGATGTTAGAAGGTAATTCAGATAACTGATGTTTTGCCGCTGCTATATAACTTTTAGACGGCATAGTTTTGACCTTTATGTCTGTTATGCAGGCTGTTTGAGAGAGGATTATCTTATGTTGACAAGGACTATTTATGCCATCTCCTATGGGATAAATATATTAAATTCGAGTATTGTCAAAAGCAGTGGGATCGGCTAGCTCATATTTATATCAACACTTTGAGATTTCCTACAAGAAGGTTGCAAAGCTATTATGAAAGGTATACAATTGGTCTAAAGATGGGTTATCTTTTTCTCAAAAATAAGAAAAAATCAAGCATGTAAGGCGTTTTAATTCATGGGATGGCAGACATTTGTTTTACCACTGGTTTGTCTGTTGAAATTTGATTTAGTTCTATTTTAACTGAGGTTATGAGCTTTTGTTGTAATGCACAGATTTGGCCATTATCTTCTGCTCATATTGGTCAGTCATTTTCTATTAAAAATTGAACTGATCCTAAATGATTAGATGTGAATATGAGGCTGATTGTACTTCTTGCTCTCGTAGTTTTGACCACATTTAAAGTAATTCTTTGAATTCATTTGGAGTTTTGAGCTGTTCTAAGATGGTAGTTCTTCATTGCTTTCAGTTTTAAGAAATTGGCTGTTCTGCTGGAAGAACAATTGGGATCCCAAAATGTAACAACTAAACTACCAGAAGGTGTTCCTAACTGTGAATTGACAAATATGAAAGGCTGTGAGTATACAGAAATCTCAAATGTTGTGGGTTTTCCTGATCAAAACCCTGCAGATCCAGAAGCTTTGAAGAAATATTTATTCTTTGGCGAGCTATTGTACCACAAATCAATTCAATTAGATAAAAGTATAAGTTGCTTTGAGGCTCAAATCCAGAGGCAGTATTTTCATATCAAGCCACTTGATGAGTTCCAGCTTAAGAATTGGCATGACTATCTCACATTTGTTGAGGAGCAAGGAAGTTTTGATTGGGTAAATACTGTTAAATGATTTAACTTTTGGGCGTTTCTCCAACTCTTGGCTATCTCCTGAAAAGCTCCTTTTTCTATTTACAGACTGTTAAACTTTACGAGAGATGTTTAATTCCTTGTGCTAATTACTCAGAGTTCTGGATTCGTTATGTTGATTTTGTGGATGCTAAGGGTGGTAGAGAGTTAGCTAATGATGCACTCGAAAGAGCATTGAAGGTCTTCTTAAAGGTAACTAACTTATAATTCTATATGGTTGTTATAAAATTGATGACTGGTAGCTTGCTTGTCAAAATTTCTGTCGAATGGCTACATTAAGAGTTTGGCTTTTGGTGTGGTTATTTTTCACTCTAATGAATGCATTATATTTGTTCTTCTGCTCAATATGGGTGCAGTTAGTTTTAATCTCATTTCTTTGGTATGATATATGCGTTCGATTATCAGTTATTATATTTGTTAAACAATTGAATGTATTATAACGAGGATTGGTGACAAATATAAGCTGCATTCATATAAACGTCCTTGCCGGGTATGCCCGCTGAGTTAACATGCTATTTTGCATTTCTATTCGTAATATTTCTGCTAGTGCCTAGTCGAATTTTAAAATTTAAGTGGATATTATGGCACCAAATTGGCGGTAGCGTATCATGTAGTCACTACCCAAAATGCTGTAAATATTTTTCTACTAGTGCAAAATCTGAGATCTTAGTGATGTAGCTTTTAATGAATGAAATACTTTTTTATATCGTGTTTATAGTTCTTGGATTTAATTAGTCTCTAATAATTTCCAGCTGCACGTTGCCTTGCCTGAAATAGTTGGATATAATTCATTTGTGGTTGTTCCAGCCCTTATTTGTCTTGAGCATCTTTTTATAACGGGCTGTAAAAAATGATTCTCATAATATCTATATGTTTATCTTCAACGCTAATAAGTTGCACATGTGGGATGGGGATTCCCGTTGCCTTGTTTTTCATACCATCTTAAATGCAGTATGGGCAGATTTTGATAGCAACGTAGAAGCAATGCATTACCTAATGATTCCTAAGATTTCTTGCTATTTGTTCTGTGGAAAAGTAAATGTAAATTTCTTGTCTTTGTCATGGTATCTTTCAATATTGTTGAATACCAATGTTTGGTATTTAAGACTACTGATCTCATGTGCAAACATTCTTGCTGAGGTGCTTATGGGCATATCATTTTGTATATTTAATTATCTATCCTGAATATGTAAGTTTTAATGTGGCGTCTAAGTGGCATCACACATTTTATTGTAGCCAACATTGAATGTGTTGTTTCGATGTTGCAATAAGATTTTTGTCAAATGAGGCCATGTTCATTTATCTCCTACTAAAGGATTTTTGTGGTGTTTAGTATCCTCACGGGGATTTTACCTCATTTGACATTTGTCTCTTATAATTTCTAGTGAAGCTTTCTAACCTTGAAATCCTTAAGGTTTATGGAGGTTCCGATCATGATTTGAGTTGTTTTTCATCCCATCATATTTTTGAAATGAAATCA